GGGTTGTCGCCTTACAGGAAAAAATTGCCGTACAAATATTATTTCTGGATAGGTATTCTACCGGAATCCGCAACAAAGTTTTACTTTCTGCAAAAACCCGCTGTTTAATACCTTACTAAATATATCTCAACATAAGTTTTCGAAAACAAATTACAAAAATTGTTGATTCTTAGAAAATAAACCACCTCGTCATAAAGAAAAATATTTTAAAAATAGTTCCTGAAAACCCCCCATTTTTTAAACCACGTTTTTTAAAAAGAATTAAACAAGGATTACGATGGTATAGTTTTAAATCCCTTATTTACTGGCCTTCATTATGCAAATCAACTTCAAATAGTTCAGATGTTAATAGTGAAGTTAACTTTAGGACAATCTTCACCGTCTTGTATATAAATGTAATAAAATATATGTTAAGCGCGTTTGAAACGACGTTAAGATGAAGTCTGTGCGATGAGCAGAACTTAAGATATAACGATTTGAAGAAGTACATGATTAGCCAGAATCATGAAAAAATGCAAACTTTAACAGTTCATATCTCCGAAGAATAAAAATAAAAAATAAATTTCTGGGACACGTGTGAGCTTATTTCATGCATAGAACCCATAAAAAAATTTTAAGCGAATCGGAGACATGACATAATTTTTTTACGAAATCCGTCCGACGTGAAAAAGAATGGCTCATATAATAAATACGTTATGCGTATAAATAGTACGTTACTTCAGTGAAAATGTTTCCTTGAGCTCTATTTATTATGGTTTATGCAATTCCGTTTTTGTATGTATTATAACAGAGCATCAACTAAATTTTCCTCTGCAATTGAACGAGACTATATATGTAAATATGATTTAAAACAAGTAATTTTTAAGCAAAGTACAAAACCGAATTCAATTGTCATATAAAAATTTAAGACTGCGGCAACATACATAAAAATATATATATATATTCTGATGAATTGATAACCTTTCCTTTTTGTGAAATCGGTTAGAAAAGAAGAGTATGAGTATCCCTTTGGAAAGAATTAAGTTTTTTTTGCTAAGTGGCCCCGTTTAGGGCCCAGCAATTATGGCAGCTCTACTCAAGAATGATAGAATACAAGATTGCGCTAATCGAGCTGAGAGCAACCGGGCGTGACGTCAACAAATACCGGAATGAGAGAGCAAGACGATCTCGACAAGAAAAAGAGGAAGCATCGAACAAAAGGCAGTATTGCCAAGTTTTGAATTCGAAAAAGCACCAAATTTTTATTGGTGTATGGACTTTATATGCATACTTCATTTTATTGTAAGGATGCCGATTCAAATTAATAAAAATCAATGGTCGATTTCTTCTGGCATGATTGAAGGTGCTGCCACATATTTTGTTGTCGCTTGTGATTGTCACTATGCTATGATTTTGTTTAAATTTTTGTAAAGATGCTTACCACACTTACGATTGCTATACATTTTGCTTCTACTTTTTAATATTTTCAAATTTGGTGTCTCAAACTAAATACAAAAGCACCAAAAACGCACCAAGCACCAAACTCAAAAATTCTCGCGTTTTGAACACCCACTAAATTTGGTGTGAAAAGCATCAAGTTATTTTCTGGATCGTGAGCCCTACTCTAGTACCCCTTATTATGAATTCGTACGATGCGCGATACACGCTTGCATTCTTGAATCGATATTTGTAGTATGAAATCCGATAGTTAGCGTAGCTGATTTGTGTTGGTTCACAATAAAAAGTTAACAAAAACTACAGTCATTAACAATAATACATCGTCGGACGTATGAAAACAATAATACGAAAACTGTTTTTACACGGTACGCTTGCAAGTGTTTATCGTCTAGCGCAGGCTTTCCCAAAGTGGGTGCCGCTATTGGCTAGAGTATACTTACGGTGACCATCCGTCCTTTATTTACAAGGACAGTCCTTTATTTTAACCCCTGTCCTTTATAATTTTTTTCAAAATAAAGGACGCCTTTTGTCCTTTATTTCTTAAACTGTCCTTTAAATCAGCTCTACATTTTTCTGAGGTAAATTTTTAAACACAGAATAAGAAAAATAAAAATAAAATAACCCCCCTTAAGGATTTTTATTTAATAGGTAATCTTAGCACAATCTATAAAGCACGGGGAAAGTTGTGCCCAGAATCGTGTTGCACGCTGAGTTTCAAGTTCCACTGAAAGAGAACAATAAAGCCCCTACTGCACAGTGGTTCAAAACTGGCATTTAGTGTTCGTAGTTCACTGGAGCGTTTATGTTTTTCACGAAAGTTGATAATATTTTTTATGAAAGCTTATAATATTTGCAAGAGACCAGTTGAGCCTGATTTGTGAATTTTTATTTTATTGTTTTAATTTTTTAGTGCAAAATGCAGAAAAAGAGGCAATTTTGAAGAAAATGTCTTCTCCTGTTCCAGTTAATAAATGGTACATAACAACGACTGGTTGAAAACAGTTGTATGGTTCCCCAAAACATTTTCCACAAAAAATTTTCACCAAAATATAATTTTTTTGTTTTAGTAAAAATTGGTTGAAAAATGAAGACTACGGTGAATTATGAACATTAAATTCCAATTTTGAACCACTGTGTGCTGGCTTCGGCGCGCAGTATGAATTATGGTAAACGCATTTTGGCAACAAAGGATGGCGAAGTCCTTGGAAAGGATTTGGCTTCATTTCGGAATCGGTTAATTAACTGGCAAATATCTGATTTAAATTACCATATGGGTAAGGTACTTTAACAAATAAGTTATATGTACGTATTCCCAAATTATTTTGAAAAAATTCCTTTATTTTACGTTGGTTAATATGGTCACCGTAAGTATACTAGTGGTTCTTGAAAATTCTTTAAACTTTCCATACACAACGCAAGCGGTTTGATCAAACTTCGACATGACGGCAGGAAAATAAAAAAATTAGAATTTTATTAAAATTACTTTCAGCGGCTCGTCAAACCCCATGCAAAGCCATTTGTGGCTTGCAGCAAAGGGATATTTCGTTGGCTTGTCAAGGCGCTTATGTGGTGTATTTCGCTCTTAAGCGTGGTTCCCCAGTACGTTTTGTCAACGAAAAATTGAATCAGGAAATTTGCAGAAAAATAGATGAAAACGTACCATTTCCACAACCATTTTCTGTACTTTTGTAGACCAATCCGCGTTTCATCCACTTTTCTTCCCTTTTTTGGATTTTTTGCTGGGTGGGCTGTTCTCGTAACAAGCGCAGCAGATTCGCGCACGTGTATATGCTACTTATTCTTTGGAACTTCCCATTCACACTGTGAATCAGCGAATCAACACGATTTTAGAGGCAGTCGAGAACGAACTTATAAAAAGTTCGAAAACTTGTGAATTTCTTAGTTTACAACTTGATGAAAGTACCGACATAGTGGGACTTAATGTTCTTCTCGTGTTAGTGATGTACCCGTTCGTAATGAAGATGGAAGAAGAACTTGGAAACTGGTTTAAAATGGAGAAAGTATGCGGATATTTGTAGTGGTTGGAAAAACGAAAGGAGCGATGTCTAGGATGAAGCAAGAGGCAGAAATTGCCACCAGAAGTCACTGTACGATTCGTCGTGGCACCTCCCATAGGCGTGAAATTTTTAATTAGCCATAACTTCCAGACCATAAGTCACATGAACTTGAAGTTTGGTATGCACTCATATATATGGTAGGTGATTATAGGAGGGATATATATATGAGTTTTTAAAAGGGGGCGTGGCGCATCCCATAGGCGTGGAATATGTTATCAGCTATAACTTTGTACCCATGTGTCACACGAAATCGAACATTGGTATGCAGTCATAACGATGGTAGGGCCTTACAGCAAGGTATGTATAAATGAGTTTATAAAACGGGGCGTGGCACGTCCCATAGGCGAGGAATTTTTTATCAGCTATAACTTCGAAACCATAAGTCACATGAACTTTAAATTTGGTATATGGACATATGTAATGTAGGTGCTTTTAATATCTACTATATATTTTTGGAAGTATGTATGTATGTACATATGTACGTATGTGCCAGGTTGCAGCCTAAACGTATGAAACGTCAGTGTGAGCGGACGTTTATTTACTGCGCTCCGCGATTTTTGTGCTTGCTTCGCTAATTGTGTAAACAAATCAATGTGCTCGAGACAGTGACTTTATTTTGAAATAAAATCTGTAGAATTAAACAAGACGCCTTGTTTCTGTGGTCTAAAAGTTGACCGTAACAACAAAGCTAAAGTTGCAATGTGCAAAATGTAGTGAACTTTTCCAACTTAAGTGTGCCGGTATTTCTCCTGCTGACTTAGATTATTTGATCAGCTCTAATAGCAGCTTTTTCTGCAAAATATGTTCGGACATTCGCCGAAAATCTCTCCGTTCTCCCCCTCCGGCTCTTGATGTGGTGGAGGGCGCAATTGCTATTAATTCGCCTGCTTCAACGAACTTTAGTGCAAATATTTTGCCCCAACAACAATTGCCTGAGAACCCGGTCGCAATGCAGAAACACAGTGAAAATGGACAAAGTGAAAATGAAGACAATACTGCAATCTCGCTATCAATAGTTCTCAAAGAAATTGCTGCTCTTAAATCTGAACAAGTTCGTGCGACTGCTGTAATTAGTTCTATTCAAGCGGATAAACAGTTGTTGATAGAAAAGTCAGATGAATTGCGCTCAGATATAAGAACAATGCAAAAATGCATAACCGAAGTGGTCACCTCAGCCTTTGCGCTGCTTACGGCTGAGATAAAAGACCTTCGTGCGTGTATGCATGCGTGTGGGTGCCACCCGCTGCTGCGAAGTCAACAGTTTTGCCCATTCCTTTTCCTGTTGACAGTGTCGGTAACTCGTCTTGCTCTAATGATATTCAACTGTCTGGTGCTTCTGATCGCCTGCCTGCTGCTTTGCTGATTGACTCAACCGAACAGCGTAATTTAGCCGCTCCTGCGCCGACACAGTCAACTGATCAACGTATCTAACGCGCGTCTACGTCCGCTGCTGCTGCGTGTCAATTTCAAGATAGGAGTTCCATCTTTACACTACGCGTCTCTTCTCAACTCTGCGATTTAGCCAGCTGACGTAAATGTGCGTTCGTTTGAGTTTTTTCAGAAAGCAGTTGCGGCACAACCAACACCGTAACTGATTCCCTTCTGTGTGAACCTCTTTCTAAGTCTCTAAGGATATATTTTCATAATGTATCTGGCCTAAGAACTAAATCTAGAACAGTTTTTAATATGAGTGCTCACCTGGACTATGACGTATTCGTTCTTATTGAAACATGGTTGAATGCTGATTTTTGTGAAAATGAATTTTTCGACCCCAATCTATTTAATGTATACCGGAAAGATCGTGATTTTATTAAAATTGGATTGTCAAGGGGCGGTGGTGTTTTAATCGCTGTTCAGCGTCGGTTTCGCTCATCACTCGTGCATTTAGAAAATGTGGATTCACTTCTGGACCAACTTTGCGTTGTGGTACAAGGTCACACGAATATATATATCTGTGCGTCCTACATTCCACCGTCCAGTGTTGATAGTCTATACAAAGCGCATGTTGACAACATAACGGCTCTCGTCTGCAAACATTCTGGTAGCAACTTTTGTGTTCTTGGAGACTTCAACTTGCCTAGTATAGAATGGTCATATGTAGATAGTAACTATGCCCTAATTCCAAAAAACATTAATAGCTTTTCGGAATCCTACTTAGTTGATTGTTTTTTAAGTTTAGGTTTTATTCAAATCAACAGTTTCTTAAACAAGTTTTTTAGAATTCTGGATCTTGTATTCATAAGTGATAACATGCATTTCACACTTCATGAATGTCTTGATCCTTTATCAAGTTCTTGTAATCATCACATACCGCTCATTATTGGTCTAGAATTTTACAGTTTTAAAAGTCTTCATGTTAGTAATCAAATTAATAGTTTTTGCTTTAAACGTTGTAATTTTAATATTGTGGATAACGAAATTTCTCTATTAGATTGGGATTCCCTTTTTACTGGAATTAATATTTCTTCATGCTTTGATACATTTAAAACAAAGATGTATGAAATATTCTGCGAAAACGTACCACGTGTTAGCAAGAAGTGCTATAGGGTTCCTTGGTATACGAGAAAATTAAAAAGGCTAAAGAATTTGAGGAACAAGTTTTTAAGAAAATTTAAATTAACAAGTGCCCAAGCGTATAGGGGTAAATATTTGCGCTATTCCAAGAAGTTTAAACAGTTGAGTAAAATTCTCCAGCGAAATTATATTCGCAAATTTGAGTCTGATATTAAGTCTAATCCAAAAGCTTTCTGGCGTTACGTTAAGTCCAAAAAGTCCTGCTCTAATATTCCCTCTGAGGTATTTTACAACGGGAGTTATGCTTCCTCCACCCAGGAGGCAGCTGATCTTTTCGCTGACTTTTTTAGTTCTAACTTTGATCCATCGTCGGAACATCTGAGTGATAATTTTTGGAAAACCAATTCCACCATTAACTTTGGCTCCCTTTCGCTATCTATTGAGGATGTTTGGGATGGAATTCAGGGCCTTAAAAGCTCTTCGCTTGCGGATATTGATGGTTTCTCATCCTATCTCTTCAAGAATTGTCCTGCCCTTACATATCCTCTTTTGCTAATTTTCAATAAATCGTTAGAATCGGGGGAGTTTATTGATGCGTGGAAAGTTACGTCCATCACACCTTTATTCAAGGCTGGTAATAAAAAAGATGTTGCTAATTATAGGCCTATTTCCAAACTTTCTACGACATCGAAGCTATTTGAATATATTATCAAACAAAAGTTGTATTTTGCCGTAAAGCGTCGCATATCTAATAACCAGCATGGTTTCATGGCTGGCAGGTCAACCATCACTAATCTTGCTGTATTCACAGAATTTTGTATGTCTGCTTTCAATGACAGATTCCAAGTCGATACAATCTATACCGACTTTTCCAAGGCTTTTGACAAAGTCAACCATTCAATTCTAATCTCCAAATTGCGCAGTTTTGGGTTTCATTCCATTTTTTTAAAATGGATAAAGTCGTTCCTTTCATGTCGTAAATGTGTAGTTGTTGTTGATAATGTTTCTTCCCAACCTTTTGTTGCCTCTTCTGGTGTCCCTCAGGGCAGTATTCTGGGTCCATTACTCTTCATCATTTTTATTAATGATATATCTGATTGTTTTAAATTTTCTGAATTTATTTTATATGCAGACGATTTAAAAATTTTTAAAACAATTTCAAGTCGATCTGATTCAGCTAAGCTCCAGTCAGATCTCAATAACGTTGTGGCATGGTGTGATAAAAATCACCTTCAGCTAAATATTCGGAAGTGTTCTCACATAACGTTTTCTAAGTCTAGGCAGTTTTTGGCTACTTCATACTTAATTAAGGAATCACGTCTCACCACTTTGGATGAAGTTTCTGATCTGGGAGTAATTTTTGATTAAAATTTCCTATTTCTGAGTCATTTAAATTATATAATTTCTAAGTCATATTCAACACTTGCCTTTATTCGGCGCTTTGGTTCAGACTTTACTGATCCTTACACTCTAAAACTACTATTTACCTCGANACTTGCCTTTATTCGGCGCTTTGGTTCAGACTTTACTGATCCTTACACTCTAAAATTACTATTTACCTCGCTTGTACGATCTAAGTTAGAATATGCGGTCTTTATATGGAGGCCATATCACCTTTGTCACATTAATAGACTTGAGCGAATTCAAAAGAATTTTCTTCGTTTTGCTCTCAGATTGCTTAACTTTGCTGAACCGATTCCTTCGTATGATGCTATATGTGCTTTAATAAGCTTGAAGTCTTTACAAAGTAGACGGAATGTTCTTTCACTCTGCTTTATCTTTGATATTATCAGTGGAGAAATTGGTTGCCCATTTCTTTTAGAGCGCATTTATTTTTACATTCCACAAAGAAAATTGCGGAGCAATGATTTATTCTTTCTGGAGCGAGTCCGGACGGTTTATGCATCCTATGCTCCGATTCATAGAGCATTGAAAGAATTTAATCAAATCTCAAATTCTTTGGCCTTTGATTTCTCGTCGCCTAAGCAATTATTTAAATTATCATTGAATGAACTATATAGTTAAGCTTGAACTTGTATAGTTAAGTATTTTTGTAGTGGTCTGTAAGAAATCATGTATTTCTAGATTTACTAGATATGTATAAATAAATAAATAAATAAATAAACGGACGGACAGAATCAAACAAAATTTTGACAGAGTATTGCCATGACACCTGGGCCTATAATAGGGTAAAAATATTGGGATTCGACAAGAGGGCGTGGCACCTACCATAGCCAAGAAATTTTTAATCACCCATAATTTCGGAACTATATATAAGTCACATGAACTTGGTATGCAGTCATATATATGGTAGGTGCTTATAGTAAGGTATATATAAATGAGTTTGTAGAAGTGGGCGTGGCACATCCAATAGGCGTGAAATTTTTTATCAACCATAACTTCGGGACCATAAGTCGCATGAACTTAAAATTTGGCTTACACATATATATGTGTATATATATATACAGGATGTCCCAGAAGTAACTTGACACACTTGAGGAGAAGGCAGGTGGGGTGGTGAGCTCCCTGATAAGCAAAAATTTTTCAGGCAAAAGTGTTACCGTTTTTGAAATATTTAAATTCTTTTGAATTAAAAAAAAAAATCGTGCATTTTCATGTATTTTCTTTAACTTCATCTACAAACAAGGCTATACATAGTAAATTTTTTATGAAAAATACTTTCAGATAGTTGCTTCTCCATACTCAAATGCAATGTACTTAAAATATATATAAAGTTGTATTAGAGGAAGTGGAACTAGGTCCATCGACTTCAGGGAGAATGATGGAAAGACGGACTGGAATACCAAAAACAACAGTTCACAAAGCTTTAAAATACCATCTCTACCACATTCAACGAGTTCAGGCTCTACAAGAGAGAGATTACCTGATGACGGATGCCTTGCTCACTACGTTCGTGAAGTAAGAGCTCATTTAGACGAAACTTATCCTCGCCGATGGATTGGACGATACGGGCCAATTACGTGGCCTGCTCGATCGCCAGACCTGAATCCATTCGATTTTTTCTACTGGGGCTGTCTTAGGGACAAAATTTATTAAAAAATAATTCAAAACGAAGAGCATTTGCCGGAACAAATAAATGGAGCTGCTGCTGAGATAGCCCAATTGAGTTTAAGATCTCTATAAGCGTATTTTCTTAAAAGGTGCCGAGCTTGTATTAGAGTAGAAGGTCGTCAATTTGAGCATATTTTATCAATAAATGAATAAATTTTTCTGCAAACAACTCATGTATGTTTTATTTCACGTGAACCCATCCTTCACAAAAAATATTGATAGATATAGCCCTTGTTATTGACTCTAATCCGAATCCCTATAAGTAACATAAAATAATGTCAGGAGCATGTAATAATGTACCTTTGTACTATTTAGCATGTCATTGGTCAGTAATAAGACCAACTTAAATTTAAATCTATTAAATACATTCTAGAGTATCTCAGTCCTTTACCCACAAAAGCGGCTATAACTTTGTTTTTTCTATTCGAAATAGTAATGCCTTGGTTATAATAAACGGGGCGAATCGTAACAAATCGCGCCGAATTCGTAAGGATCTATTGATTTTAGATTGTTCTGTTTTAGGTTACGTTTACGTGCATTATAACCATTTGCATTCATTTCCCATACAATGGATAATTGAGTGACAGTTCACTCCGTTCCGTTACTTCCATTATAACCCAGGCAAAAGAGTGGCACCTTTCTGAAATATTTATTAAATGAGCAATTTTTTTATGTAATGTAAAGTTATAGCTCAGTACATTTTTTTTTTACCAGAGATAGTCAAAGATGGGGAAGAAAATATCAAAAAGTTGAATAACCCAATATAGTCCTAATTTTATAATGGTTCCTTAATATATTTTAACTACTTTGCATTTGAGTATGGAGAAGCAACTATGTGAAAGTATTTTACATAAAAAATTTACTAAGTATAGCCTTGTATGTAGATGCAGTTAAAGAAAATACATGAAAAGGCACGAGTTTTTTTTTAAATTAAATTTTTGAAATTTATAAACGCTACCTCAAATTATTGTTATTTTCGATAAAAAAAGAGACACGTATTTTTTTATTTTGAAAAAAAAAGTTTTTTTAAAGGTCGCGCTGGTCGTTTTTTTTATAAAAACGCTGATGTTCTCAATTTTTTTTATTTTCGTAACATGTTAAAATGCAGCTAAAAATGTGGTTTTTACATATAATAACTCTGGTATTATTGGGGAATATTCCCTTAATTACATACCTGTCATGGGCAGTTGGAATGGGCCTAGTTCCCGAAAATATGCTCTCGAAAAGAGACTTGTAAAATTAAAACGTTGATACTGAAAGATTAAGGCGTTCTCATCGGTTGAAACTTGTTACCAGGAGGTTTCTGGGGTTGATAATTAGGAATTTGAAGTCTGTTTTTCAAAATTCAAAATGGCGGATCCAAAATGGCGATCCATTTTTTTTAAATGGTTGGATTTGTTCGAAAACCGGCACTCGAGAGTTTTTGTGGTCGCCGATTACGAATCTTAAGTCCATTTTTGTAAATTCAAAATGGCGGATCCAAAATGGCGATCCATTTTTTTTAAATGGTTGGATTTGTTCGAAAACCGGCACTCGAGAGTTTTTGTGGTCGCCGATTACGAATCTTAAGTCCATTTTTGTAAATTCAAAATGGCGGATCCAATATGGCCATCAAATTAAAAAAAATTACTAAAATTAAAACGTTGATACTGAACGTTTTAAACATTGTCAAGGGTTAAAAATCGTTTCCAGAGGGTCTCTGGAGTTCCAAAAAATTAATTATTTTTATTATTTTTAACCAATTTTTAAACCGCTTTCCAAGTGCCTATTTTTTTTAAATAAGGCTGTTTAAACAAAAAAAAATTAAACGACAAAATCAAAAACAGTCTTAGTGCACAAAACAANAAAATCAAAAACAGTTTTAATGCACAAAGCAAGCCAAACGGCAAATTATGCAACAAAAAAATTAATTGTTTTTATTATTTTTAACCAATTTTTAAACCGCTTTCCAAGTCCCTATTTTTTTTTTAAATAATAAGGCTGTAAAAAAAAACAAATAAACGACAAAATCAAAAACAGTTTTAATGCACAAAACAAGCCAAACGGCAAATAATGAAACAAAAAAATTTATTGTTTTTATTATTTTTAACCAATTTTTAAACCGCTTTCCAAGCCCCTATTTTTTTTAAATAAGGTGGTTTAAACAAAAAACAATTAAACGACAAAATCAAAAACAGTTTTAATGCACAAAACAAGCCAAACGGTAAATTATGTCATAAAAAAATATTTGTTTTTATTATTTTTAACCAATTTTTAAACCGCTTTCCAAGCCCCTATTTTTTTCTAAATAAGGCTGTTTAAAAAAAAAAAAACAATTAAACGACAAAATCAAAAACAGTTTTAATGCACAAAACAAGCCAAACGGTAAATTATGTCATAAAAAAATATTTGTTTTTATTATTTTTAACCAATTTTTAAACCGCTTTCCAAGCCCCTATTTTTTTTAAATAAGGGTGTTTAAACAAAAAACAATTAAACGACAAAATCAAAAACAGTTTTAATGCACAAAACAAGCCAAACGGTAAATTATGTCATAAAAAAATATTTGTTTTTATTATTTTTAACCAAGTTTTAAACCGCTTTCCAAAATTATGAAATTGTTCTAATAAAGCAAATTTCATTCGTTTCTCTCTGTAGATTTTAAGTTTTGACATAAATTAGCACTTCTTTTTTTTAGTTCGTAATTATTCCTTAATTGGCGCCCCTTGTCCTTTACCCCGTCGTATATTATTCAAATGGAGAGTGCAAGTGAATCTAATTTTTTAGAGAAAATTTTAATTAAAAAGGTAGCAACAACTATAATTACAACAAAAATAAAAAATAAATAAAAAAAAAAGGTTTGCTGCCAGAGGGATTCGAACCACAAATCCCGTAACAGCCCTTTGTTAAGATGAAAGAGAAAAGAGCTATCCATTTCCAAGTGAATCCAATTTTTTTGACAAATTAATTTAATTTTAATTAAAGAAGTGGCAACAACTATAATTACAATTTATAAAAAAAAAAAATAATTAAAAAAAAAGATTTAAAAAAATGTTTGCTGCCAGTGCTGCTTGTTTTGTGCATTAAAACTGTTTTTGAATTAGTCGTTTAATTGTTTTTTTTTTAACAGCCTTATTAAAAAAAAATAGGGGCTTGGAAAGCGGTTTAAAAATCGGTTAAAAATAATAAAAACAATTAATTTTTTTGTTGCATAATTTGCCGTTTGGCTTGTTTTGTGCATTAAAACTGATTTTGATTTTGTCGTT